ACACCTGAGCCTCCATCACCTCTGTTATACACCTGAGCCTCCGTCACCTCCTCTGTTATACACCTGAGCCTCCATCACCTCTGTTATACACCTGAGCCTCCGTCACCTCCACTGTTATACACCTGAGCCTCCATCACCTCTGTTATACACCTGAGCCTCCATCACCTCTGTTATACACCTGAGCCTCCATCACCTCCACTGTTATACACCTGAGCCTCCATCACCTCTGTTATACACCTGAGCCTCCATCACCTCTGTTATACACCTGAGCCTCCGTCACCTCCACTGTTATACACCTGAGCCTCCGTCACCTCCTCTGTTATACACCTGAGCCTCCGTCACCTCCTCTGTTATACACCTGAGCCTCCGTCACCTCCACTGTTATACACCTGAGCCTCCGTCACCTCCACTGTTATACACCTGAGCCTCCATCACCTCTGTTATACACCTGAGCCTCCGTCACCTCCTCTGTTATACACCTGAGCCTCCGTCACCTCCACTGTTATACACCTGAGCCTCCATCACCTCTGTTATACACCTGAGCCTCCATCACCTCTGTTATACACCTGAGCCTCCGTCACCTCCACTGTTATACACCTGAGCCTCCATCACCTCTGTTATACACCTGAGCCTCCGTCACCTCCTCTGTTATACACCTGAGCCTCCATCACCTCTGTTATACACCTGAGCCTCCGTCACCTCCACTGTTATACACCTGAGCCTCCATCACCTCTGTTATACACCTGAGCCTCCATCACCTCTGTTATACACCTGAGCCTCCATCACCTCCACTGTTATACACCTGAGCCTCCATCACCTCTGTTATACACCTGAGCCTCCATCACCTCTGTTATACACCTGAGCCTCCGTCACCTCCACTGTTATACACCTGAGCCTCCATCACCTCTGTTATACACCTGAGCCTCCGTCACCTCCACTGTTATACACCTGAGCCTCCGTCACCTCCTCTGTTATACACCTGAGCCTCCATCACCTCCACTGTTATACACCTGAGCCTCCGTCACCTCCTCTGTTATACACCTGAGCCTCCATCACCTCCTCTGTTATACACCTGAGCCTCCGTCACCTCCTCTGTTATACACCTGAGCCTCCATCACCTCCTCTGTTATACACCTGAGCCTCCGTCACCTCCTCTGTTATACACCTGAGCCTCCGTCACCTCCTCTGTTATACGCCTCCGTCACCTCCTCTGTTATACACCTGAGCCTCCGTCACCTCCTCTGTTATACACCTGAGCCTCCGTCACCTCCTCTGTTATACGCCTCCGTCACCTCCTCTGTTATACACCTGAGCCTCCGTCACCTCCTCTGTTATACACCTGAGCCTCCGTCACCTCCTCTGTTATACACCTGAGCCTCCGTCACCTCCTCTGTTATACGCCTCCGTCACCTCCTCTGTTATACACCTGAGCCTCCGTCACCTCCACTGTTATACACCTGAGCCTCCGTCACCTCCACTGTTATACACCTGAGCCTCCATCACCTCCTCTGTTATACACCTGAGCCTCCGTCACCTCCTCTGTTATACACCTGAGCCTCCGTCACCTCCACTGTTATACACCTGAGCCTCCGTCACCTCCACTGTTATACACCTGAGCCTCCGTCACCTCCTCTGTTATACACCTGAGCCTCCGTCACCTCCTCTGTTATACACCTGAGCCTCCATCACCTCCACTGTTATACACCTGAGCCTCCGTCACCTCCTCTGTTATACACCTGAGCCTCCGTCACCTCCACTGTTATACACCTGAGCCTCCATCACCTCCTCTGTTATACACCTGAGCCTCCATCACCTCCACTGTTATACACCTGAGCCTCCATCACCTCCTCTGTTATACACCTGAGCCTCCGTCACCTCCACTGTTATACACCTGAGCCTCCATCACCTCCTCTGTTATACACCTGAGCCTCCATCACCTCCTCTGTTATACACCTGAGCCTCCATCACCTCCACTGTTATACACCTGCTCACCTTTAACCTCTATAATCAACATTATCACTTTAATCAATACAGTATTATATATATTTAATTGCTCTGTTTGTCTCCTTAGCCTCCAGGTTATACTCATGAATATGGAGTATCCACTTGTTTTTCAGTCATTACCCATTTCTAAATCTCCTCTGACTCACACCATTGATTGATTGATTGATTGATTGATTGATTGATTGATTGATTGATTGATTGATTGATGATATTCATGTCTGATATGCTGCAATTTGTTTCCTGCGAATGATGTTGAACAGAGGACCCTCCCTACTCTGTGCCATGGTTAGTACACAACAGAAGTCTTCAGGTGGCTGTTTAAAGCAGAGGCCGGATAACCTCTACTGGACGAGACAATTCAAAATGAAGACTTCTTTAGGCTGCATCACTGCATCTCTCTCTTTCCAAGCCCAGCACAGCTTTCTGGTTCTGCTCGAGGTTTCTTGTTGTTCCTCACCACTAACTTTGCTAATTGTTGCTTAGTGCTCATGATGGATTAATGTTGGGTCTTTGTAACCTAATTTAACAATGATAAGGTCTTTTACCTGCTCTTGTCTAAGCCTATATAATGTCAACAGAAGGGCCTTACTTTATTTCAAAATAAAAGCAGGGTTGAATTCTAACAGCAAGTACAGTACTCTCAGCTTAAGACATTACAGAAATTCAAAATAAAGGCCGAACAAGTTTTATTTTTAAATGTGAAATAATGGAATTTCAAACATGTGATTAATCATTAAAAAATGTGATCTTTTGACAGCCATAATTTTCTAACCTTCCAACGTAGACTGACCACGAGCTTCCTGAGTGTCAAACAATACATGTGACATCAACCAATGTTTACTACCCCTCAGAATTTTGTTTGTCGGCCTAATTTGAATGCATGTTGGTTTATGTGATTTATGTATGAAGCCTGTGTGCTCCTCCAAGTGTCTTCCATCTCTGATTATGTGAAGCACTTTGTAACATGTGCTCTAACACACTGATTCCCTGTAACTTCAATGCCTTCTCATATAGCCTACACAATATAGACTACATACATGATAAACAATAAAGAACTAGAATAGAATAGAAAAAAAATCCTTTATTTTCATTAATTAGAAATGCAATCCGCTCCTAATCACATTCAAGTCAGAGAAGAGGGAGGTTGCTGCTTGTTAAAAATATGTTAATGTCTGCGGTGAAAATTTAATTTTTGTTTTGAAAGGGTGTGTAGGTGACTTCCGGTTCCGCAGCCAGCCTCTAGTGGACACTCAAGGAACTGCAAGAATTTGCACTTTTTTTATTTGCACTAGCATTGTGGAGTGCACCATGATATTGAAATCGGACTTTTGTTGTGTACATATCTTCATTTTATTTTCTTTGTATCATTTTGAATAACGTGTAGTAATAATCACCACTACAGCTGCTCGTTTTTAAGTCTTAAAGTACTGAATAAATACTTTCTGTAATTATGTAAGCATCATTATTTAGACTACTCTCACAACTGGAACAGCAGATCTGAGGGAGGCAAAAAGTGAAACTCCTCATGATGCTGTCTCTGCCATCCCCTGACTGAACTGACTGATCAGTGGACACGGATTCATAAACGGGGAAATGTCGCCATCTTGTGTTCAGTTTTAACCTCCAAAGGTTAGAGTTACTGTCTTGTTGAGAATGTGATGAGCTTTATTTTGGTGTTTGTTTTAAGAAATGGACCACTCTGCCTTTCACACAACACGGACATTTCACGATTTGTAGTCTAATTAACATTTAGAAAATGTTGTGTTGTATTTTCTAAAGACTTGTAAAGCCTACACGCTGCAGTGTAAAAAGAAACATCACATTGTCAAGAATAATAATATGTCTCTGTGCAGATAGCCTACAAAAATGAATCTAAGTTTACTCATCCTGAACATCTCAGCAACTGAGAAGAAAGAAATACATGAAAATCTGAGGGAGTTCAAAAACTCATAAACTAATAAAGTGTCATCCACCAGGCAGAATGATAACAGGGGAATAAAAAAAGGCTTTTAATGGATAAATCATATTAACCTTCAAATATTATGACCTATCAAACAACATAGTGTTAACAGGCAGCAAGGCGTCACATAATGTTCATCTGTTGTACAAATCTCATATCCAGGCCTATAGTCCACATGTAGGCAGGAATTTTTTTAAATGGAGGTTTTCCTCCTCCGTTTCACAAAACAATCCTGTCCACACGCTGAGTCCTAAAAAACATCTTAGTCCACATGGAATCTTTGTATATCAGCAGTTCATAACAAAAGTTATCTGAAGACACTTTACTAAAGAGCTGTTAAGACCTTATTCTGTAATATTCTCTACAATGACCCGACATTAATACATCACAAGCACTAAATAACATTTACCAAAGTTACAGTGGAGAGAAGGCTGAAACCTCGAGCAGAACCAGACTCATGATGAACAGCCATGGGCCAAAACTTTGTTGGGCTTGAACCTCCTACCTGTGTGAGAGATTTGTCTGATGTTACCTCAATCAACACAAAATACAGATCAAATCTTGACATTGAACATGAAGTATGACCATCAGAGTCACAGCTGAACCCAGACTGAGAAGATCTGAAGCACAAAAAAAGGCAAACTATATGAAATGATTATACAACTGGAGGAATACATGTAAGAATTCATCTCCAGATCAGAACTCATCCAACTGAATATCTTCATGTCATCACTGAAAGGCATCTTTTTTATGAAAGTAGGCTAATCTTAAAATAGCCTACATGAATAAATGTTCATCATTTTTATAAGGGTCTGCTTTAAAGTGAGTGAGGCCTCTGTTTATTTTTACGATGTTAATTAACACTTCCGTTGCCTTACATTTGAAAATCCCTATCAAAAAGCGCGGACGGGACGTGGAAGCTGTATAATAACTCTGGAACTTTACTAAAAATCTTCCACGTTCTGATTGGACGATAGAACATACGCTAAGCCCAACCAATCATAGACCGGCTCAGAGGAGCCGTAATGATATATAAGCAGAATTTCGACGGTTATTAAACATATTGCATCTCCTCGACGAAGAAACGACAAATCTGAAAATGTCTGGAAGAGGCAAAAGTGGAAAGACAAGAGCGAAGGCAAAGAGCCGCTCATCCCGTGCCGGGCTCCAGTTCCCCGTCGGCCGTGTTCACAGGCTGCTGAGGAAGGGAAACTACGCTCAACGTGTCGGTGCCGGAGCTCCCGTTTACTTGGCGGCGGTGCTCGAGTACTTGACTGCTGAGATCCTGGAGTTGGCCGGAAACGCAGCCCGTGACAACAAGAAGACTCGTATCATCCCCCGTCACCTGCAGCTGGCTATCCGCAACGACGAGGAGCTCAACAAGCTGCTCGGGAAAGTTACCATCGCTCAGGGAGGCGTGCTGCCCAACATCCAGGCTGTCCTACTGCCCAAGAAAACCGAGAAGGCCACCAAGAAGTAAACGACTAACATGTCACCCAAATCAACGGCTCTTTTAAGAGCCACCCACTAAACCCAAAAGAGTTGAATGTTCCCGTGATAAAACATGTGATAATACACATACACTGTGTATTGACACATAACAAAGTTAATAAATGTAAATACGGATTGTATGTATCAGCGTTGTTCTACGTATTCAATAACACCAACCACTCAAACTGCTTGGACCATGATCAAATCTGGCTATCCAAAAATACACCAAATGACTGATGACATGACAGTCCCTACATACTGTGATAAAACGTCTGATGTTGTTTTGTTTCATACGGTAGGAGGGACGCTACAGCTGCAGTCTCTTACACAAAGACGGCGAGATAACACCCTGATGTGCCTGACCAATCAAGGGGCTCAGGATTCGATCAAACCATTCGTAGTATTTGTGCTATTGGATTCAAAGACAGTAGTGCCTCAATTGTAACAAGACGCTTTTACTCTGGTGACGTCATGTCTAGAAAGTTAGCCCACGCGGAAGAGAACGTTGGCGGGCGGAGCTCGTGCTGTTTCTCTCCTCTAACGTCCTCAGTCAGGATTTAAATAGGGACGCTCCGAGAAGGGGGAGCATCAGTTCATCTGAGGAAGAATCCTGAATCTATCAAGATGAGTGGACGTGGAAAGGGAGGAAAAGGACTCGGCAAAGGAGGCGCTAAGCGTCACCGGAAAGTTCTCCGTGATAACATCCAGGGCATCACCAAGCCCGCTATCCGCCGTCTGGCTCGCCGTGGTGGAGTGAAGCGTATCTCCGGCCTGATCTACGAGGAGACCCGCGGTGTGCTCAAGGTGTTCCTGGAGAACGTCATCCGTGATGCTGTCACCTACACCGAGCATGCTAAGAGAAAGACCGTCACCGCCATGGATGTGGTCTACGCTCTGAAGAGACAGGGCCGCACCCTGTACGGCTTCGGCGGTTAAACTCACACCTCCATTAACAACAACAACCCAACGGCTCTTTTAAGAGCCACCCACTTCAACTGAAGAGAATTCGTTCTTACTACTGAAGTGACAGAATAATAGACTGATCACTCGGTATATTTATTCAAGTTGAAACATATCAATACTATCATCGTCATCAATCTAATTGCATAACGATACATATACTAAACTTGTGCATGTTTAATTGAGGAGACAGTATGGGGTATTTGCACCAGAACATGATAACATGCACATAATGGTGCTGTATTGAAAACTAACAGGGCACTCATCGGCTTTCATCTGTTTTTGTAAATTCACATTCTCTATTTTAGGTTATATTTTCACCACATATCATTAACTCTGCAAAGCTCTGTTTATTTATATATTTACATAATGTCAGACTGGCTACAACCAATAACAGTTCTGGGGAATGTCTAACCTGTATCAGTGGTGAACAGGTGGGTGAAAACATAATTTGATAATGAAGAGTACACAAACATAAAGAACTAAAGAAACAATAAAGCATCTATCAGGCTGAGAGAGAGTGAGGAAAACCACTAGATCTTTACCGATCTAGCCTGGACACATCCTGCAGCCTAAGACTCCCAGTGGCCTGGTTCTGCTTCGGGTTGCACCTTATATATCATTTTGACCTGATAACAACCCAACACCCCCAATCTCCCTAAATATATTTTGTTACACGATTAAGTGATATTCACTTTTGTTCAACAGGTCAAAGACAAGCAGAATCATCTGAGCTGTTCATACCAGTTTATGTAAGAACACTGATTGTAAGGGGCTCTCACTGAACACCTAATCAGTGTTTAGACAAACCACAGCTTTTTTAAATATGGTTCCTCAATCATTTCAACTATTTCACTTGCTATCTAGAGGACGAGCTGTCACACCCATGGACATGGTGACATAACAAATGACCTGTCAAGAGACTTCAGATGTAAATTTACTCCAAGCTTGCTGTGGTACAGTGCATCAAGTGGGAACAACGCTCCCTTTACTTCTAAATTAAGTTAAATTGACAATAAATATGGCACTCAAGTTTGTGCCATTTAATATATAAAAGTAATATAATAAACCACGCAGGTGAAGGCAACGCTTAATGTTTTTGTCTCCAAAGTTTGAAAGTCTCAAATAAGACCAATAAACTGAATATATATTCAGAAAGAGTTCTGTTACAAAATGAAAAGGCAGGTCAACATCAGTCCGGGCACATCTTCATAAATATAGTTATTAAAATGTTAAGAAAAAATGTGACGTTAGATATATACGCTTCTTAAGACACACAGATATTGAAATTAAGCCCAATTATGTTAGTGAATCCTAAATTAAAGCAAACGTACAAAGACGTCACAGATGTTCGGTTGGTCAGGTGAGAACAGGAATCCTTCCTCTCACTCTTTATGTCATGAACGATGCTGCTTGAGGAGAGTGGAGAATGAATGTGATTTTAGTTTAGGGTCGTCTTTGTGAAAAGTTGAGTTCATATGTGATTGATGAAGATGTTTAATTTCAATGTTCATTAGCTGTAGGTAAAGAAAAGCAACCTGCACACCAACAAGCCCTGTTTGAAGGTTTTACTGATAAGTGACAGTGGCTGTCACTAATAAATCCTGGGTAGTGAAGATTTTCACTGTGTGTGTCTCTTGTTTGCTTTTCCTTAACTTCGACAGTCTATTCTGATTTTGTAATGTTTGTAAAGTGAGCACATTAATCTGTTAAACGTTAAATAGAGTTTCCTGTTGGTGTTTGGGCTGTATGTGGCTGGCTGAAAGATTTGTGTGTTAGTTTAGTGTTTTGAAACATGAATGTAATGTGTGAGATGAAGTAATTGGTAATTCTAATAAAGAAAGGACTCTATTAGGATGTGAGCTCTTAGTTGAAGGTGGTGGCTCTTAAAAGAGCCTTTGTGGTTGTGTTTAGTGGGTGATGAGGTGTTTATGCTCTCTCTCCACGGATACGACGGGCCAGCTGGATGTCTTTGGGCATGATGGTGACCCTCTTGGCGTGGATGGCGCAGAGGTTGGTGTCCTCGAAGAGGCCGACCAGGTAAGCCTCGCTGGACTCCTGCAGAGCCATGACGGCGGAGCTCTGGAAGCGCAGGTCGGTCTTGAAATCCTGAGCGATCTCACGGACGAGACGCTGGAAGGGCAGCTTGCGGATGAGCAGCTCGGTGGACTTCTGGTAACGACGGATCTCCCTGAGAGCCACGGTGCCGGGCCTGTAACGATGGGGCTTCTTCACTCCGCCGGTGGCCGGGGCGCTCTTCCGGGCGGCTTTGGTGGCCAGCTGCTTCCTGGGAGCTTTTCCTCCGGTGGATTTACGGGCGGTCTGCTTGGTTCTTGCCATTTTCACGGTTCTGTGCTTTCCTTTACTCAAGGGAAGAAGATAACTAACCGTCCCTCTGCCGGGTTTATATAGCCAGAGTCTGAGCGCGAGATTCTCTGATTGGCCAGGAGCGTGCACGTGATACCGCCGGCCTCGCTCTATTTCTCTCTGTCTGTCTCTCTCTCTGTCTCTCTGTCTCTCTCTCTCTCTCTCTCTCTCTCTCTCTCTTTCGAATCACTTTATTGGCCTGAATGTGAAAATACTGACAAAGCGTTACACATTTTACAAAAGTAATATTTATTATCCACAAATCAGCAGTTTCAATAATAAATAAGAGTAAACATCTGATAAATATTTGGAATAAAAAAATAACAATAATAGAAAATAAAAAGAAATGAAGAAGTAAAAAGTAGAATTAATCCGTCTAACTTTGCTTATCAAAGAGTCTTGCAGGTTATATAGACCTAGTTTTGGTTTGTGTGTTCAGGATAACACATTTTAAGTAAATAACATTTTTTTGGGGCGCTGTGGCATAGTGGTTGGTACGTTTGTGGTCGTGTTCCTCTGTGTGGGCGGCCAGGGTTCAGGTCTGACCTCTTGCCATGTCTTTAAATGGAGGCATAAATTATCATTACAATTGGATATTTTGAAGTTTGCTGTTGAAACGCTTTAGGAAAATGATTTATTCTGTTTGATGAGTTCATATCTGATGAGCCGTCAGAGGGGAATAAACCCCAAAAACCATGCAGTTAATACATATTAAAACTTATAATCTGTATTTTTTAAGTCAAAAATTCAACATCAAAAAGAAAAGAAACAAGAACTTTGTTTTTAATGTGTTTGAATTAATGCATTTATTACTGATGTGAAAAAAACTTAAAAGAGAACAGTGTTCGATAATATTCATAAAATGCTGCAGAAAGTGAAGCTAACACTTTATTGTCTGTTTGCACAGAAACGTGACTTTGGCAACGTGGCATTACTACCTCACAAACCCTCACATTACAATCAATTGGACAGAGATCTTGTTCGCATTAAGGAAATTAAACATTTTGGTGCTGAAAATATAAACTATGTAATCCATTTTCACCAATCTCTGTGGTTAATATCACCAAAACCACAGTTTCATACATTATTTTCTGTGCGTTTCCAATTTCTGGAGCTTGTAACAACAAATGTGTCTTATAAACGGTGTTGGTACTACAAGTTTGTGTTTAGTTCATCACACAACCCAAGAGACAAACCAGTACATGAACCAATTATGTTGCAAGCTCAAAATTAAAATTGGAAATGTACTTACCACAGGAACAGGATAAACCATGTAACATGAAAATATAAGACCTTGTGGAAAAATACCTTTAAGTCATTAACTAACATATTTGCACGTTTTAATAGACACGTGGAAAAGATAACTTCAGATAATTCAAATTTGAACATAGCTTTACATGAAAAACCTGCTCTTCAAGTTTTAGCAACTGGCTCTTCAGTAAAGCAGAATTTACCCCCTTTGTTTAGTATCTGCCTGATGAAGCAGCAGGAAATATTCAGGGAGATGCCTTTCATATCCTGAGACAACGCATTCAATGACACAGTCTTCATGTTTTTTGTTGATACCTTGAATATGTAACAATGGTCAGATTTGCCATCATGGCGTCAAATATGTGGCTTCACTTTTGCTTAGTTCCTTATATATATATAAATAACGTATTCCCTCCTGAAGCCCTCCATGGTCCATGAGGGATCCCCTGCGGTGATGTGCAATTGTTAACAACTGTCACTGTCAACAACGTAGGCTCAACTTTATTGATTAACTTGATCCCACTGCATTCAATACATCATTGTACTGAGACAAGAGTTTGTGGCATTTCTTTAACTAGGAATAGTGGATGCTTTTAATAACCGTCTCCTCTCCATGTGAAGATGCTGGCTACTGTTTTTCCAAAATGGTGACATGTGGCAGAGATAGATCTTCATCATTGAAGTGCTTACTACACAATCACAAGTTCTTTCACCAACATTCACTCTTTCAGGTTGAAGGGAGCACAATAGCAGACCTTAACTGGAGACTGTAAATCAGCAATTTGAAGATACCAATATAAAATTAATCTTGGCTAAAGTGCATCATGTGAATTAGGAATGAACTCTTGTAGAGTAAGTGGGTGGCTCTTAAAAGAGCCTTTGGGACTGCAGGACAGTTGAAGTGTTTACTTGGAGCTGGTGTACTTGGTCACAGCCTTGGTGCCCTCAGACACAGCATGCTTGGCCAGCTCTCCAGGCAGGAGCAGGCGGACAGCAGTCTGGATCTCCCTGGAGGTGATGGTGGAGCGCTTGTTGTAGTGAGCCAGCTTGGAGGCTCACCAGCAATACGCTCAAAGATGTCATTGACGAAGGAGTTCATGATGCCCATCGCCTTTGAAGAGATACCGGTGTCTGGGTGGACTTGCTTCATCACTTTATAGACGTAGATGCTGTAACTCTCTTTCCTGGTCTTTCTCCTCTTCTTGTCCTTTTTGCCGGGGTTCTTTGTCACGGCTTTCTTGCTGCCCTTCTTTGAAACGACTTTCTGCTGCGGCTCAGGCATTGTCGGTTGATTCGATGCTGATCGTTGAAAGAACTGATACGCTGCTGAGCGCTGACCGATTTTAAACACAGTGCATGCAAATCAAATGTTCGATTCCCCTCCTGCCATTGGCCAAATTCCGCTGACTCACGGAGTAACTATGCGGAAGTCTCTGAGTGTGTGTGCTCGTTCTTTGGAGGTCATTTCTCCTCCTATTCAACAAAGAAACAGGCTCCAACTAGTTATCAAAGCTTCAGTTGGAACATTTTTAACGACTCCTTAAAGCACACCTTTGTGTATCTGGTTGTAACAAGATAAACAAGGTTGAATAAGTGTCTCAAATATATCTTAGGCCTACACTATGTCCCTCTGTTAAATCCAACAGCTAGCATTCAGGCAGTCTTTTGTCCCCAGTCCCATTTCCCTCCTTAATTCAAGTCAGGCAGTTGTAAATATTGTCAGCAGTTACTCTTGAATGTTTGTAGGCTGATATTATTGTGGTTTTGTATGGTACTGTTGACACAATGCAGCTATATTCAGTGCATCTTCTATTTTACCGTGTTAGCTTTGTAAACGTATTCTGTCTTTTTTCTGTCCTGTCATGTCTTGCCGCAAGTCTTCCTTTGAGGACAAAAGAAGTTTAAGTGGAGTTCAGTATGATACTATGAATTTGAGCAGATTTATGGTCTTAATTGTAAAGATGGGACAGTGGATAGAGTCATAAATATGGGGGAGAGTGGGGAAGTACAGGAAAGGAGCTACTGGTCGGATTTGAAGCCGGACTGCCCGCTTGGCAGCCTCCACACACACTGATCACCGGGCCACCAACGCCCCAAGTCAGAGATACTTTTAAAAAGTGACATTATCCATTTTCTATTGATAGGAAAACTCTCTCACACAGAATCAGAAATTATTTATTTATCTGTAGTTACAGCTGTTCTATCACACAATATAGCAGGAGAAATATAATACAATAATAATATAATATAATATATAATAATACAAATAGAAATATGATTAAAATAAGGAATGTAAATTAGAGATAAAGCATTAAGTACATTAAAGACTGTTGAAGAAATACAGCTATGTACCAAGCACATGTTATAGAAGAACATAAGCAATATATGCTATACAAAGTAATAACAGGAAGATATTATAAGAGGATGCACAGTAGTTTGAGTGTTGTACATTGTGTTAATGGATTGATTATCTACAAGTAAAGAGTCAGAATATTGCAGTTTAAATAAATAATCAATAATGGAGGAGATTTGAAACCAGACTACACATTTTCATTATTCACTAGATAAATTGATTCGTCATAGATTACTGCATGAATATGTGATATGCAATAATAACTAAGAATAACTTCATTTTTATAGCACCTTTGAAACAGGATAGCAAACTGCTTTGACATATTGGCACATATGCCATCGTTTCAATATGCTCAGGGGGTTTCACGCAAATCTACACAAAGGCTTGTTTTTAAAAGATATTCATGTGATGATACTGTTCCATACTATACTATACTGTTTTATACACACTTCAAATACTTGGCAATATATCCCACCACTTACTTTCACATCAAAATCTATACAATGTCCTGAAATTAAATTCTGAAACACAAAACTTCTAATTAAAGCCCATCCCAAATTAAACCTGGTGTTGCTGCAAGTTTTTACCAATAAAGGCAGCGCTCTGTAAGTGCGCCCCAAGGCAGGTAAAAATAAAAGCAAGACAAAAGAAACATCAAGATAAACTGCAACAACACAAGATCAAATAAGTTATTTCATTTGTTTATGGATTTCCTCATTTTGGACAAAGTTAAATATTCTCTCTGGTGCAAACTAGCAATTGTATAGTCTTAGTATTTCCCACCATGTATGGTATAAAATAGAACACACATCCAAGTATAGGCCTTTCTGTAGTTGACTCTTCAGGGAGCTGCTGGGTGCAGTGTTATGTGACGTACAGGTGCAGTATTATCCCTTTCAAAGGTGACTTTACTTCTTTGGAATTCAAATTGTTAAACATGACGGTCAGGTGGCTGCAAGTGAGGGAACATGTGGCTGCATATTAAGTCCTATTGAATTACCAGTCTTAAATATTAGAATATTGTGATAGTATTAAGAAAAAGCATGTGTGGAAAGAAACAGGAGTACTCATATTACTATAACGAATCAGTTGAGCAGACGAGGAATATTATTTTATGTAAAAAATACAAAAACATACCAATACATTTTCAAATCATGCTCAACACGTTATAAGTTAGGTTTATACTCTTCAGTTGAAGTGGGTGGCTCTTAAAAGAGCCGTTTGATTGTTATTGTTGTTGTTAATGGAGGTGTGAGTTTAACCGCCGAAGCCGTACAGGGTGCGGCCCTGTCTCTTCAGAGCGTAGACCACATCCATGGCGGTGACGGTCTTTCTCTTAGCATGCTCGGTGTAGGTGACAGCATCACGGATGACGTTCTCCAGGAACACCTTGAGCACACCGCGGGTCTCCTCGTAGATCAGGCCGGAGATACGCTTCACTCCACCACGGCGAGCCAGACGGCGGATAGCGGGCTTGGTGATGCCCTGGATGTTATCACGGAGAACTTTCCGGTGACGCTTAGCGCCTCCTTTGCCGAGTCCTTTTCCTCCCTTTCCACGTCCACTCATCTTGATAGATTCAGGATTCTTCAGTAGATGAACTGATGCTCCCCCTTCTCGGAGCGTCCCTATTTAAATCCTGACTGAGGACGTTAGAGGAGAGAAACAGCACGAGCGCAGTCCTCTTCCGCGTTAAAGCTGGACAGAAGCAGCAGGCACGTTTCCTGTAAAACACGTAGCCTTCAAAATAAAAGTAGAAAAATCGCATTGAAATTATGGTGACAACAACAGCGTTATTCAATTAATCAGCTTGACAGGTGTTTTAATTCAGTGAATCTATGTGCACGTCATTTAATTGCTTTAATGTTGTATTATCACAATTTCAGTGTATGAGCCAACACAGTCACAATTTATATTTTTATAACTGGATTTGAAACTCTTCATGAATGTATTTTAATCCAAGTATGTGAGATGTTCATTTAACAACAGCAACACTTCAAAGTTCTGATGGATGATGAGTGCTTGACCTTGAGCTGTTTATGATCGACATAACATAATATATTATTATAATGTTTATCTCAGCATATTTGCATCACTACTGCACTATTGTCCTATTTAGCCTTGGAGGTCTTTTGTTATGTTGTGTTTATTGTCAATATTTAATGTTATACTTGAGAGCAGTTGTGTGTGTAAGCATACTTGGCCAATAAAGCTGATTCTGAAATGAACATGGACTGACCAGTTTAGAAATCAGTATTATTATTATAGTATAATTTTTTAGCCAACAGGGGTACAACAGTTACTCTTTCTGGGAAATTCAAACATATTGTCGCTACTTTTGTTCCGTTTAGCTGAAAGTGCAAACTTCCAGATTGAACTTTTGTGTAACCCAGCAAAATTACATTTAAAATGTTTTTATAAAATCTGTGATTAGCAACTCAGCATATCTTAATTTTTTTTATAGAAATTAAAAATAACCTTAATATCAACTTCTTCCACAAACTTCTGTTGTGATCATCATTGTGTTGACTTCCTTTCTGAGCCTCAACACCTTCATCTCCTTGATGACATCACCATGTGAATTTCCGCGATTGTAGTAATTACATTGAAGGGAACTGAGCTTTTTAAAACCCAGGCTGCTACATTATTGTTTTCTGCTCACCCCTTAAACTGAGGACTTGGAACCTCTAGTTTTAATGGGCATGATTATGTTACGAAAATAATGGTAAACACGTTTTTGTTAGGTGTACATAATGTTCCTGGTAGTAAACACATAACCTACTTTCCCAGTTGATCTGACTAACGTCAGAGGAAAAGGAATAAACGAGGGGCTAATAATGAAAATATATCATGTACTAATCACAAATTATTTAAAAGGTCTGTGATTTAATTAAAATTCAACACCAGTCTTCACTCCATCAGACAACAGAGACACTAACTGCAGAGCACGCTGCACCTGTGTGTATTGCAGGATAGCTAGCTTGTTAACTGTGCAGCCCTCTGTACTGAATGTGAAACAGATCAGAAATCTCTTTCAGTGATCAATTGGGTGGCTCTTAAAAGAGCCTTTGTGGGGTTTACACGGTGGAGAATTATTTTCCCTTCACAGCCTTCTCGGTTTTCTTAGGTAGTAGGACAGCCTGGATGTTGGGCAGCACGCCTCCCTGAGCGATGGTGACCCTCCGAGCAGCTTGTTGAGCTCCTCGTCGTTGCGGACAGCCAGCTGCAGGTGACGGGGGATGATCCTGCTCTTCTTGTTGTCCCGAGCAGCGTTACCGGCCAGCTCCAGGATCTCAGCGGTCAGATACTCGAGCACAGCCGCCATGTAGACGGGAGCTCCGGCGCCGACCCGCTTAGCATAGTGTCCTTTCCTCAACAGTCTGTGGACACGACCGACGGGGAACTGGAGTCCGGCTCGGGATGAGCGGGTCTTGGACTTCGCTCTGTCCTTTCCTTGAGTCTTTCCACGGCCAGACATCTTCAAAGGGATTCTCCAGTCAGGTTAACAAAGGCAAGTTAATACTGTGGCGGCTATCAGATGATGCTAACATACTGAGAAGTCTAGCTTATATAGTCACTATCTCGTTGTTCATTGGTTAGTAACAGCTGCAGTGTAACCGGCCAATCAGAAGCGCATAGAACGTTACGTCATGCCACTGTCAACGATGCAAGTCATCCGGCTTGAAGTATCGGGGACTTGCCAGAATAAGACTCAATAACAAGTATAAGAAAATTATAAAAATATTAATAAAAAGTCAAATATATATATATATATATTTATAAATAAATGTCTTGACTGGGGCTGTCAAATAAATACACATTTTAATTGGGGTCATTGGATAATTTAATTAAGATTAAGATTAATCACATTTTAACCGCATATTTTCATTTTAATTGCTTTTACAACTACAGATTAAAAAATTGCTTTTATTTTTAATTTTTTTATTGTCTTAAGCTGAGAGTATTTTACATGCCGTTTGAATTCAACCCTTTTATCTCTAAATAATGACAGAGAAGATGTAAACCAGCCGCGGTCTGAAGGCCCAGGGGCCCCTAAACTCTTTTAACCACCTGTCCACTACCAGGACATCTGACACACGTCTCATCACAAACACACAAAAAGGATTTAACTTAATGAACAAATAATGAAATGTGTACCGGCTGGGTGATGTACATCAAGTTGCTAACACTGAAACATGTTATGTGAGCTGCTGCGACCGGAAACGAGCTCAACATGATGAATAGGAAAGAATCCAGTTAGAGTTATCACTCTCGATCTGAAAGTGCTTTTGAGATATCAAATCAAATCAAGTTTATTTGTATAGCACATTTAAAAACAGCTTCATCTGACCAAAGTGCTTTACAGGCAATGCATAAAAATAAAAAAATAATCAATACATATGCATATATAGGCTATATAATATATATATATAATGTACATACATGTATATATACATGTAATGACATAATACACACACAAAACATATATATGCATATACATGCAGCATACATACATATTACAAACACATACATACCCTCATACCTACATGCACATGCATACATACAGACACATACATGGGGTCTGTTTCAGTTTGTTTTAAATACCAGGGAAAAAAGGTGAGTTTTGAGTTTTGATTTGAATGCACGAGTTAATTTGTCTCAGATTTCTAGGCTTAAAAGCCGGGTTAGGGCGTAAAGTAGTCAAACTGCCATTTGAATCCTGAGACATAAGGAGCCAGATAAATCATTCACTCTCTTTGCTGATGTCAGAGCCAAAAGTAAGGCAGTTTTGAGCGACAGGAATTTAATAGAAACTTAACCCAGAGGTTCAAACGATGCTCTAATGAGCGGGACAAGGGATCAAGACACCGCTCATCACTGTTTGTTGTATGCACGTGTTGGATGGACTACTTTGACCACACGCAGACGTAAACACTGACGTGTTCTTCAGGTCTACTTCCTTTCTGACCTTTTGACCTCCACCAGTCAGAAGAGAATCTTCAATCTCAAGACTTTTTCTGTCTGTTCTAAAAGTCAGAACTAAACTGCAGAAAAAGGTGTTTTAATTTGCTGCTCCTTTTCTTCTGAACGAATCACAAACAGAGCTGAGACTGAGCTCTCATTGGATGATTTTTAAAGGATGTTAAAAGACTTGTAGGCGGACACATCAGGCTGTAGATGTGTTTGTGGACGATCTTGATAAATATGTCTTTTAATGTCAAATAAAGTGTCTTTATTGAATTTGTATGTGTTGCTGAATGTTGTTTGGGTAAAATCAGTGATGCTTGTCTCGACCAGGACGCTCTTGAAAGAATCGTTTATTTCCTGCATAATAACAGTTAAATCAAAATATATACATTTATACATAAACACAGACATATAAGAAATATATGTTGGTGCCCAAGAGTGGAAATTGTAAACACGAGGGTTTGATTTCCTGACCGAGCTCAAAGCACCAATTAATCTGTTTTAAACTACATCAATAAAGCAAAACAAAAGATGTAAAAAAAGGTTTGATCTCATGTCGTCAAACAATAAACTTCTTATAAAATCAAGAAAACACTTCACATCTGGCTGTAGATATTCTGCTTCATATATTCCTGATTGAATGACAAATATATTAATGTATTAAATGTTGTAGTTACGTTTGTATGTTTGGCAGTTTTAGGTTATATCTTACTGTAAATACAGAACTTCCGATGCATTTCTGATTGCACTTAGCTTTTTCTTCATTAACATGAATGTGTGAGACTTTACTTAATTAACAAAGGAGGATATACAATTAAAAATAAATTGGTGTTGAGCTACTCTGAGATCTACATTTGTGGGCGGTGCAGGCCAAATATGGAAGTTGGTCTGGTAGCTGGAGAGGTGCCAGATCACTTCCTGAGCACCGTCGAGGTGCCCTTGAGCAAGGCACCAAACCCCCTCCCCACCATTAGTTCAGGAGCGCCCGCTGTGGTCAGCTCCCTCACTCTGACATCTCTCCATTAGTGCATGTCCAGAGGATTATTTGTGTGTGTGTGTATATTTCAGCCTGTGTGTGTTACATGATTTACAGAGTGTAAAAACAGATTTAATAAAAGTAAATCTTAAAATGACTTTATCAATTTATCAAGAAAAATAACTTGTTTTTATGTTGAGATAACAGTCTAAAGAACATACAAATGACATATTTTAATGTTTGGTGTCCTTACTTTAAAAAATGGCAGACTTTGATATACATACCTTTTGAATTTCTGTTTCAATTTTCACCTAAACTATTTAAGTGTGTGTTTAAGTGTGAAAATTTAAAAATTGAAAATGGTATTGATAAAAACTTTGCATAATTGTAATATCTGTGAACATCCTGTCCAAATTTGGTGAAATTCTGATTCCCAGAGATACATGTGATAAGACTAGAGCTGTGCCTTTTGGAGAAGCCCTAATTTGACATATTTTAGTTTTTTGTTAAGATGCATAAAACATCCCAAAAAGTTATTTTGCATTAAAATATTTATTATTTATTTATACAACAATCCGTTTCATAAACTAGACATGTTCAAGTTATAAAAAAACATGGTTATGCTTTGTTCTACCTCGGGTAGGGGCATCTCGAATACTAGTCTTTTTGGGGAGTTTGTTCCTCTACTAATATGAGGAAGGAGTTCTAGGTTAAAACACACGACCAGCAAGACACAAGAGGAGAGCTCTTCAGATGATTGGGGTGGCTCTTAAAAGAGCCTTTGGTTTGTTAAGTAAAGCTTACAGCTTTTACTTCTTGGCTGCTGGCTTCTTGGCTGTCTTCTTGGCTGCTGGCTTCTTAGCTACGGCTTTGGGCTTGCTTGCTGATTTCTTGGGAATTACCTTCTTTTTTAGGGGTGTTGCCTTCTTCGGGCTCTTGGTTCTTTTCTTAACCGAAACTTTCTTGGTCGGGGTTTTGCTCACTGCCTTCTTGGAGGGCGCCTTGGCTGCTTTGGGCTTCTTAACCTTCTTAGCGGCGGCGACGGGTTTCTTCCCAGCCGGTTTCTTGGCTTTAGCGGGGGCCTTCTTCGCGTCCTTCTTCTTGGGCTTCTCGGCTGCCTTTGGCGCCTTGAAGGATCCGGAGATGCCGTTCCCTGTCACCTGTACGAGCTGCTTCTTCTCCAACAGGCCTTTCACTGCGCGTTTGATCACGACGGTGTTCTCGCAGCCCTGCAAAGCCAGAGCTTTCTTCACGGCCACATAGGAGACGCCTTTACGGTCCTTAGAATCGGTGACGGCCTTCAGAACGAGGTCTCTGGTGGACGGTCCGGCTTTCTTCGCCGGCTTTGCTGCCTTCTTCTTCGCCGTTTTGACGGGAGCAACTGGTGCTGCGGGAGCCTCTTCAGTAGCAACTTCTGCCATCTTGCTTTGTTTTCTTTCTCGTTGACTATGTCACTGAGAGAGAATGTTGAACTTCCAACAAAGACAGGAACTTAAACACAACATGAGAACCGTAGAGACTCAACCCGCACCGCAACTCACCAGTGTAGCCGGAACACTGTGTCACTTGTGTTTTCTCTCCACCGAAAAATGTATAAAATACGCATCTATTGGACGTATTTAGGAATAAATATGAACCATGCACATAGCGAAGACTTCTCTCTTCACATTTAAGTCGAATAAAGCTTTCAAGATGTTTGTACTTTCATTTGGTAGCCCTGAAACCTCCCAAAAACAGCGCCGAACGGGGGTCTGCGCCAGGTTTTTCTCATATAAATGCACAATAATACACCAAGACCCCACAAAAACCAGTTCAGTAACTCGAAGAGATGTTCGTTTACCGGTGGAAAGTGAAAACAGTCGTCTCTTGAGGTTAATTTTGGATTTAACGAAGGTTAGTTTGGCACTCGCAAACACATCATGACTGAAGCTGTTTTTTTTTTTTCAGCTTTTGATTCATTCTGTTTTCTCAGCTCACTCACGTTTCACATTCCTGTTACCCTTCATCTTTAAAGGTGATGATTTCGCTAAATAAGAAAAACTGTATTGGCCCTAGTTATAGTTACTATGCGTAGGACTACTTGTATGAATGAATGGTCAGGCTGCCCATTTAGCCCACGCTTGGAGGGTGTTATAGCCAGTGAGTGTGAACATTTCATTTGTTTTATTTATCAAGGGACAGTGTGCAATGACAGTGATCATCTATGCAAAGAAAAATGAATAAATGGTTGCACAAGATTTGGCGAGTTGCTAATTTCCGTCTGCAGTCTGACATAAAAGTGACACAAGACAAACTATAAAGCTCCCCTCATAAAGAAACACACCAGACAACAGAACACAATAAGTATATCCTGTTCAGTACCAAGTATTAAAACACAATCATGTAAAAATATACAATAAATAGCCTGATTTTAAAACGATAGAGGCCCTACACCTCAAACAACAGGAGGACAACAACTCACACTGCATGATACAAGAGACAACACAATACCCATTGGCTTTATTATGACCAAGAAGCTAATATGCCATTAGCATTAAAACTATACACGATCAGTACTGACAAGACTGATTGCTCAAAATCAAATTTTTTAACTTAACTGGAAAACTGTAGTTTTTGTTACTCTTTAGATTGTGAGGGAGGTTAGTCAATTCTTTAATTGCTTTACACCAAAAGGCTGACTGAGAGAGGGCCAAACTTTGTTTTGGGATGTTGCAGTCACCATAGAGGAGGACCATAGGGCTCAGTAACTCAGACCAAAGATCTTGAATGGAGATTAGCATTACGGTGACCTGATGGTGTTCATAGTGAAATTGTATTATCGTATCAATCAATGGTTTCTATTTGCATTTCACTAAATCATGTTATCTCATACCAGGTTTTTTTTATGTTTTAAATTGAATACCATAATCTTGTCTTTCAAAAAGGATTTAGCACTCCTAAAACACAATGTGTGCGTCTTTGTTTTAGACATTCAAAGTTCGGTGCCTTGGCATGTGCGGGTTAGGGTTGTGCCAGCTTGTGTTGTTCACCTGCATTTGCAATTAGTATCAAGAAGTAGGCCTAGCAGCTCTAAACATTTTAAAATGGTGAGACATTTATTTTGTCTACTTATTACTTACTATAGGATACGCATTTATCTAGTTGACAGTCTATATTGCCATGATGTTTTAAGGTTATATTGAAAGCCTATTTAAGAACCCAAAAGCTAGCATCAACCAATAAAAGATCTCTAATGCATCAAAACAATCTTACATCTTTAAAGAGCAATTTAACCATCACAGGTCTGTGACAATTACAGTAGGCCTACACAAGTTTTTAATATGACTACAAGGATAGATGCATCAGATTAATGCATATAATTTAATCTGGACAATGCAGTTTGACATTAGTTTGACAGTTTCTATACAAAACATGAAACTGATGTGGCTGCACAGAGAGTTTAGCTGTGATAATTTCCAACTCTCTTCAATACTGTGACATAATTAGTGACAGATTCAGTTCATTAATACCACATTTATTTATCTTAATACATTACTGATAGGTTTAACACAGCAGTATATGGAATAGTAGAAATTAGCTCCAATTAGATTCTGCAAGACTGATATAATTAGCCTATCTGGTGCAAAACCTTCATTCATTCACAAAAGCTGGCCACTTTGATGAGAACCGTTTTAACTTGGTGCAAATAATTCCTACACTCCTGTTTGTATTATTAAGAGGGGTGTTTAGTCTGACCTCATTTAGACGATGTGTAATTCTCTTTGTTATACGGACAGTGTTCTCCGGCTATAATGTAAAAAAAAAAAAAGGATTAAAAACAAAAGACACCAAATTGAACCCTCAGCAGTTCGCTGTAATTGAACAACAACAAAAACAATCCCATAAATTAACCTTTTATGGTTTGAACCTTGCAACAGCTCTTTGAACTCCATGAACATAATAATAAATTGGAACAATTATAGTCATTAATTATCATTTTAAAATCCAATAATTACAACTTTATCAAGTGACACCATCATAAAATGCCTTTTCCCATCACAAGGTTAAATATTCAACGTCATAACAATAAAAGTATGAAGTGAGGAGGAGCTATCGCCTACAAAAGGTCTGTATAATGATCTTTAAACTGTTTAAGCTTTTAGCTTATATAATTCAGATTTCCATGACCTACAAATGCAGAAGAAATGAATGTTCAAATAGCTTGATTGAGCTTGAAGTGCTTCTCTCCAACATGCAGAGGTCCTGACCTGCACAGAGCAGCACTACAGTCTACAGCCTAGTGTTTGTAAAAGTTGAACAACAAGTCTAATAAAATATAAGTTGAATGTGCATTCAGTTCATTAATCCAAACATCCTTTAAATGTCTACGTAGTGTATGAGAATCGTTTATAAAACAGTGAAATCATTAATAAACACTGAGAGTCATGTTTTACTATTGAGGAGTGCTGGTTCAGGACTAAGTGTGTTTGCAGGTGTGGATCTAAACTGTGTTTAAAACTAAAGTATCATTAAAAAATGACTTTTTTCACTCCGACTCGTTAAACCATCATCTATTCTTAACATCTGGCTGATTTTAGTCGGGGTCTGATGTATTTTTAAGCATTTATGAGATAAATTAGCAGGAAAAGTTGTGACACAGAAGTCCACACGGCACTAGTTTGGTGAGATTTAAAGTCTTACAAATGGCAATGTGACAATATTCAAAGCTTTATTCGACTTGTATCTCAAGAGGGACTTCTTCGCTGTTACATTAGTTAATTTATACATCTTTGTCGGTCTTATTTGTGTGTTTATTAAAGGTTTTTCGGTGGCGAGAAAACACAAAGTGACACACTGTTCCTGCCGCGCTGGTGAGCGGCGGGCTGAGTTGAGTCTCTACGGTTCTCATGGTGTGTTTAAGTTCCACTCTTTGTCGGGATTTCAGCATCACTCAGTCGAACCACTCGAGAGATAAACAAAACACTCAGCAAGATGGCAGAAATCCTACCAGCAGCACCCGCCGCTTCTGCGGCCAAACCTGTGAAGAAGAAGACGACGACAAAGACGGTAAAGAAGACCGGACCGAGTGTCGCAGAACTGATCGTGAAATACGTCAGTGCCTGCAATGAGCGGAAAGGTCTTTCTTACGTCGCCCTGAAGAAGCTGTTGGCCACTCAAGGCGTCGAGAACATCGGTCAGATCAAACGCACCCTGAAGAGACTCGTAGAGAGGGGGGTCCTCGTGCAGACCAAGGGAAACGGTGCTACCGGATCCTTCAAGGTGGCAAAGAAAGTCGAGAAGGTCAAGCCGGCAGCTAAGAAGGCTCCCACTAAAGCCAAGAAGCCGTTAGCGAAGATCGCCCCAAAGAAGACTAAAGCCGCCGGCAAGGTAACCAAAGCCAAGTCCCCCAAGAAGGCAACAAAGAAGCCGGCTGCCAAGAAATCATCAACCCCGAAGAAGGTCGCCCCCAAGAAGAAGAAGAGTACTACCCCCAAGAAGAAGGCATCAACCCCCAAGAAACCCGCAGCAAAGAAGGCATCCAAGCCCAAAGCTAAGGCGAAGGCCGTGAAGGCGACCGGAACCAAGCCCGCATCCAGGAGGGCAGCCAAGAAGTAAATCAAAGTTTACTTCCATCAAACCAAAGGCTCTTTTAAGAGCCACCCAAATGTTTCATCTAAGAGCTCCTTCTTCCATGTGTTTCTCTCTTTATCTTTGAATTATTTATAGTTGTATACATGTTATACATGATATGTAAAAATCACATGCCAGGCCCTTCCTGCATGTGTCATTTAACTGGGCACTATGTTAACTGAAATATACCTTTTGTATTTCTAACATTGAGCCACTCTTTCATATATTCATATTTAACAGAAATACTGCCTTACTACTTTCCAGGGGTGGAATGTGGCTCTTAAACACAATATAGAAGGGTTCATCTTTTTTCTTATACACCTACCAGAACCGCCAGATGAAGATCACTTCAATACAGCAATACACATAATATAAATATATCACAAGCATCGTCAGTCACAGAGACGTCTACAAAAAATAACATAAATGCAATTACAAGGAATAAGAAAGAGACCACATGCTAAAAAAAAGAAAAACTAGTGTGTGCGCATCTAAACGCAGTATGTAAAAGTATAAAGTGCAGAATAAAGAGAATGCACACTGTTCAGCTCCCAATGAGGAGCAGGGCAACGTTTTGATCCACGTTTTGGATTGAAATTCTTCCCTGTTTAAAAGTTGTGAGTCATTAAGAGCTGAACAGCTTGTCTGCTCTTCTGCAGTTACATCCATAAAGCCACAAAGAGTTTAAATAAAAGACCAGAAGCGTTTCATTTCCTGTGATAAAAGTGAGCTTGTTGCCCCGATTAATCTCATTTAGGTTAATTAAGCAGACAGACCTCATATAAATATGTCATCAAAATGACTTTAAATCAATTCACACTATTTATTGTCACCTCTGCTTTAATTGTTATTGACCCTTTATAAAGAGGCCTGAATAAAACTAACTTATATTCCTATAAAGGGCCCCAATGATTGATATGACAGATAATATGCCCACACTTTATGACATAACTCAGACATCTACACATCGTTTTGGACCTTTGAGTTCAGTTTAAAATAAGCATTTATATTCATTTCTACAATTAAATATGCTGTAGGTTAAGTCGAAGGCCATGACTTTAATTTAGCTGTAAACTTTGGCTCTTTTAGGATATTACATTTTACACAAGAAGTTATTTGTTAGTGTTTGATTGCCATGACAGATCTCTGTTTAATCCATAAAAGTAATTGACTGCAACACAGTGATTTATTAATTAAACACTCAAAATAACTTTTTATTTTAAGTTTGAAATCACCATTTAGGCAATAACATGTTGAATTTATTTTTTCCTATACAACTGTATTATGATCAGATTTAATTTGTAACAACTCCAGTTGTTTCTGGCTCCTCAACTATTTTCATTTGTATTTAATACTCCACTGTCTGATCCTTCTTTGTATATTTCTCCGTTGTGGGATAAATAACGACGGTCAATGTCTCATGATTGTTAAGTTTTAAGTGTTTTACCAGTTTAATAGTAACTCTGGTAAGTTTAAGTATCCTATAAATGATTAATATTGTTCATGTTTGATCAACTATCATTTATAATGAAAGACAAGGCGTGTCAAAATGTTTGAATTTCCTCAGCCGTTGGCCCTGAGGAGATAGAGAGAGAGAGAGAGAGAGAGAGAGAGAGTGAGCGAGAGAGAGAGAGTGAGCGAGAGAGAGAGAGAGAGAGAGAGAGAGAGAGAGAGAGAGAGGAGAGAGAGAGAGAGAGAGAGAGAGAGAGAGAGAGAGAGAGAGAGAGAGAGAGAGAGAGAGAGAGAGAGAGAGAGAGAGAGAGAGAGAGAGAGAGAGAGAGAGAGAGAGAGAGAGAGAGAGAGACAGAGAGACAGAGAGAGAGACAGACAGAGAGAAATAGAGCGAGGCCGGCGGTATCACGTGCACGCTCCTGGCCAATCAGAGAATCTCGCGCTCAGACTCTGGCTATATAAACCCGGCAGAGGGACGGTTAGTTATCTTCTTCCCTTGAGTAAAGGAAAGCACAGAACCGTGAAAATGGCAAGAACCAAGCAGACCGCCCGTAAATCCACCGGAGGAAAAGCTCCCAGGAAGCAGCTGGCCACCAAAGCCGCCCGGAAGAGCGCCCCGGCCACCGGCGGAGTGAAGAAGCCCCATCGTTACAGGCCCGGCACCGTGGCTCTGAGGGAGATCCGTCGTTACCAGAAGTCCACCGAGCTGCTCATCCGCAAGCTGCCCTTCCAGCGTCTCGTCCGTGAGATCGCTCAGGATTTCAAGACCGACCTGCGCTTCCAGAGCTCCGCCGTCATGGCTCTGCAGGAGTCCAGCGAGGCTTACCTGGTCGGCCTCTTCGAGGACACCAACCTCTGCGCCATCCACGCCAAGAGGGTCACCATCATGCCCAAAGACATCCAGCTGGCCCGTCGTATCCGTGGAGAGAGAGCATAAACACCTCATCACCCACTAAACACAACCACAAAGGCTCTTTTAAGAGCCACCACCTTCAACTAAGAGCTCACATCCTAATAGAGTCCTTTCTTTATTAGAACTACCAATTACTTCATCTCACACATTACATTCATGTTTCAAAACACTAAACTAACACACAAATCTTTCAGCCAGCCACATACAGCCCAAACACCAACAGTATACTCTATTTAACGTTTAACAGATTAATGTGCTCACTTTACAAACATTACAAAATCAGAATAGACTGTCGAAGTTAAGGAAAAGCAAACAAGAGACACACACAGTGAAAATCTTCACTACCCAGGATTTATTAGTGACAGCCACTGTCACAATGAACAATGAACATTGAAATTAAACATCTTCATCCTGTCATCATCATCATTGATCCAGAACACAACATTATTTCATCAATCACATATGAACTCAACTTTTCACAAAGACGACCCTAAACTAAAATCACATTCATTCTCCACTCTCCTCAAGCAGCATCGTTCATGACATGAAGAGCGAGAGGAAGGATAACTGTTCTCACCTGACCAACCGAACATCTGTGACGTCTTTGTACGTTTGCTTTAATTTAGGATTCACTAACATAATTGGGCTTAATTTCAATATCTGTGTGTCTTAAGAAGCGTATATATCTAACGTCACATTTTTTCTTAACATTTTAATAACTATATTTATGAAGATGTGCCCGGACTGATGTTGACCTGCCTTTTCATTTTGTAACAGAACTCTTTCTGAATATATATTCAGTTTATTGGTCTTATTTGAGACTTTCAAACTTTGGAGACAAAAACATTAAGCGTTGCCTTCACCTGCGTGGTTTATTATATTACTTTTATATATTAAATGGCACAAACTTGAGTGCCATATTTATTGTCAATTTAACTTAATTTAGAAGTAAAGGGAGCGTTGTTCCCACTTGATGCACTGTACCACAGCAAGCTTGGAGTAAATTTAGGATGTGTCCAGGGTCCGTGTACCTTCCGTTCATTCTATTTCCAACTCTGAAATGTAAATCGGAAAACAAAAAAACAGGCATTTTTCTTTTTTCAATATATGTAGCAGATTTTAAAACAAACAAGTGCTGTTTTCCATTAAAATATAGCCATAAAATTGGATTTTGTGTTGTTTTCCTATTATGGATTTTTATATTCCAAGATAAACACGAAGAATCCAATCTATGTTGATCCAAAATGCAAAAATGCAGAGATATCTGTATTATTAGGTAAAGGTGTGTAAGGTGAAAGCAGTATTTTAGCTTTTTTTTCTGACTTTTTGTGAAAAAGTCCATGGAAAAGTTAGTCTTTATACATATGTACTTTTTTTTTTTACTTTGTATGTAATATAAAGACTAACTTTTCTCACAGCTTCACTTTTCTGCAAGTTTTTTGTGACTTTGTGACTTTTTTTCAATTTCTTTTCAATTTTTAAAACTGTTTTGTGACTTTTTAGAAAAACAGTCGAATCCAAATAACAAACTATTATACGTTATATGGATTCTACTGGGTTTTTTTTGTCTTTTTTGTTTGTGATCGGCATACTGACCCATTGTTTCTGAAATGGGGGTCCGTGTAGCCCAAAGGGTATTCTGAGGTACAACAGGGGTACATTTTGGATTGACCAAAAGCACTGTAGTTGTTAAATAATAAAATGAATCCTGAAAAATACAGTGCTTTCGGTCAATCCAGAATGTTAATAAACCTCAAACCTGAAAGTAAAAGTAAGGTTTTGGCTCAAGGGTTCTGAAGACCTGCGCCAGCCAGCTGTCTGAGATTCTGCAACACCTCTTCAACCTGAGTCTGAGCCAGGAGAGGATACCGGTGCTGTGGAAAACGTCCTGCTTGGTCCCGGTCCCAAAGAAGACGACACCATCTGATCTCAAGGATTATGGACCAGTGGCTCTCACATCTCATGTGATGAAAGTGTTGGAGAGGCTCATCTTGACCCACCTCAGGTGAAACCATCCCTTGACCCTCAACAATTTGCCTCCCAGCCACACCTGGGAGTGGACGATGCCATCATCTACCTGCTGCAGCGTGCTCACTCACATCTGGAGGGAAACGGCTGCACTGTGAGAATCACCTTTTTTTGATTTCTCCAGTGCATTCAACACCATCCAGCCACAACTGCTGGAAGAGAAGCTGCAGTTGATGGGTGTGGACTCATCCATCACCTCCTGGATTACTGACTACCTGACAGACAGACCACAGTTTGTCCGACTTGGCAGTGTTCAGTCTGGAATGGTGGAGAGTAGTACAGGAGCTCCACAGGGTACTGTGCTGTCTCCTTTCCTTTTCACCTTGTACACCTCTGACTTTCAGTACAACTCCAGGTCATGCCACTTGCAGAAGTTTTCTGATGACTCTGCGGTGGTTGGGTGTATAAGTGATGGGCAAGAGGGGGAGTACAGACAGCTGGTGGATAACTTTGTGGAGTGGACAGGAAGAAATCACCTGATTCTGAACTTGGATAAGACCAGGGAGATGGTGATCGACTTCAGAAGGAAGAGGACAGAGCTACCACCGCTGTGCATCCTGGGAGACGATGTGTCTGTGGTGGAGGAGTACAAGTACCTGGGTGTCAACATAGACAACAAACTGAACTGGAAGGCCAACACTCAGGCTGTGTACAAGAAGGGGATGAGCCGACTCTACTTTCTGAGGAAGCTGAGATCCTTCAACGTGTGCAGCAAGATGTTGGAGATCTTCTATCAGTCTGTTGTGGCCAGTGCGCTGTTCTCTGCTGTGGACTGCTGGGGGAGCAGCATTGGAGCTGGTGACACTAAGAGACTGGACAAACTCATTAAGAAGGCCAGCTCTGTGATAGGCTGCAAGCTGGACTCTTTTGTAGTGGTGACAGAGAGGAGGACTCTGAACAAACTGTTATCCATTATGGATAATCCTGATCACCCTCTGCACACCCTACTGGACAAACAGCGGAGCAGCTTCTCCAACAGACTGATACACCTCCGCTGTCACAAGGACAGATACAAGAAATCTTTCTTCTCGAAGGCCATAACTCTGTACAAGGCGCTACAAGGAGATCTGGTGAAAAAAAAACTTTGGTGAGTTGAATATCTATAGCATATCACCCGATAGGACCCAACTTTGTGCAAACCGAAATATCACTTTAACCAGATGCACCCTTGAGTGGGGGTGCTTGTAGGTACCCATACGCATCAATGGTCCTGCTCCTTGGAACGGGGCCGGCCCGTGGCATAGGCAGTGTGGGTAAATGCTTGGGGCGCCAGCCTCTATAGGGGGCGACGCTGGCGCCCCAAATGAGTGAGGCAGAAAAGTTAAAGATAAGATGATTTTAATATTTTAATATTTAAATGATATTTAAAATTTGTTTAAATATCATTAAATATTATTTATTTAATGTAATTGTCATGCTATTATTTAGTAATGTTATGAAAGAAGCCATGAAAACACAACTAGGCTACTTGACATCTATCCTGCTTGGCGCATCACAACACAGCTGCTCGTTACCTGCTCGTTGTGGAGGAGGAGGGCAGGTGACACTGACCACACCGATTAATATCACGTTTATAAATGACCGTGATGTAAACAACAACAACAACAACAACAACAAAGCCCTCAGGAGCCCAGGGACGAAAAAAAAGAAGAGGAAAAATGTGAAAAAGACACAGAGGTAACGTGCTGCACGGATCAATGATTTATGAGTTAAGCTAGCTTGTTATGGATGGATGATAGTAACATCCGTGTTTCCTAATCTTGAGCTTGAGTTAACATCAGTTATTTCCATTGGACAGAAAACCTGCTTTTATAATAAATAAATATATATTTATTTCTCGTTTACTGCACATAGTTCTGTTTACATCTGTTAGTCCGGTCACTGTCCACTTATATCTACTCTTTTATATTTTGTATTTTTAAGTTAAGTTTAAGCTTTAAGTTGTATTTAAATTGACACTTTATATTTAGGTTAAAATGTTTCGTTTACTTGCACTGTTGTTAATTTACTGCTCTGTGTGCCTTTGAATTGCCCCCCGGGGACAAATAAAGTTTTTTGAATTGAATTGAATTAAATTGAATTTATTGACATCTTTGTGTACTTAGTTAGCTCTCACCCTCATTGATCAAAATGTTTATTTTCCTCCTCCTGTTGTCATTAATAGTTTTAAGCTCTTGCCTTTAGAGTATTGATGTCTAAGAGCATGAATGCATTTTGTGCATGAAGTCCTCTCTGAATAGTTAGTGCATACTGTATTTATTTATAAGAAATATTAGTGTTATTACCATTTTATTCACGTTTGTTTAGACATATTTTTTTTATTTTAAAATAAAGACATTCTGTTAAATATAAAACTGTATGCCAGTTTCTTTAAGTTTATGAATATTGTGATTAGTGGTCAAACTGGCTGCAATTTAAGGGGCAACCGCTGAAATCTTGCCGAGGGCACCAAAATGATTTGGGCTGGCTCTGCCTTGGACTCCTGATCAAACCTCTTCATACTGTCTGTTAACTTTTACATCTGATATAATCCTGTTTCCTCTCACCATGTTGATTTTGCAGACTAAATTTAGTGGGGATTCTTTTTATTGAGTATTGTTTTTATATTATCTACCTTTTAGTTAAAAAAAATCCATGCAAGCTGCAGGATCAGGAAGTCCTCAACATGGATGACAAACAGACTAGATACTGTACATCTAACCTTACTGCTGAGCTTTGCAAGATTGGCATAACAAGAGCTGTACATGCATGGAATGCACACAGAATCCCAGGTGAGTTAAATAAAAAAAACATGTATCACACAATCCAGTCCTTTTGTGAACTTCTTATTTTAAAGTTGACAGTGAATTTTAACCATAATCACATTTTGTGACCTATGCTTTTCTTCACAGACAAAGGAACACCCAATTGTTCGGCAGCAGGAGGATGTCCAAAAAAACTGGGAGAGGAGTTGTTGCCCCATGCCTCCCAAGCAGCAGACATGGACCAGCAGGATGTTGGCTCTTCACTGACTAGAGCAGGCATGGGCAACCTACGGCCCGCGGGCCATATACGGCTCGTTGGGCTTTTTAATCCGGCCCCGCAAACTTGTCCAAATTATATTATTATTATATTAAATTAAATTATAATTAAACCTTGTTTGTTTTCCCCTGTAATGCCCACGTTTCCCCAATAGATGGCGCACTTCAGAGTGTGGTGTATTACTCCCTAAAGAACCCGGATGAACTCTTCTGTACAAATGAGCGGGCCAAAGAAAAGAAAAGTGGACAGTGAGTGCCGAGTGTTTCATACGGAGTGGACAACTAAATCGTTTTTCACTGAAGTCCGATCAAAGGCTGTATGCCTGAAATACCAAGAAACTGTAACCCTAACCCTAAACTGCAGTTTTCATGGAGTACAATATGAGCCGTCACTTTGCTACGAAGCATGCTAACTATGCTAGCAAGCAGTCCACGCAAGAACAGGTGGCTACGGCTCAGAGGTTGAAGGCTAAAGTCTTTTGTTTCCTTTAAAAAGGATATAACTGTACCGACACCACGTTGAAATTAAACTAGAGTAGCACTGCGACCTTCCTGACAAGCGGACCAATCCACACGATTATTTATTTAGGCTATTTCCAGGCCACAGACTGAAAAGTGTAAAAAATTCAAATTTGATTGAAAAACAGAAATTTAAGGCCTTTCCCCGAAAACAATCAGAAACTGCAATAGTTTAAAAAAACAAAAAAGTAAAATAGTTGTAAATAGTTGTCAGATTTTTGTTTCAGAAATGGAAATAGAAAAAAATGGCCCTAAATGTCTTGTTTGATTTGCATTTCAGAATTGGAAATAGAATGAGCGTTAGGTACACGGACCATCCAGGCCTGGTAGGAATAGCTGCAGCCTCGTCTATAAAGATCTAGTGCTTTTCTTCACTCTCAGCCTGATAGATGCTTTATTGTTTCTTTATGTTTGCGTACTCTTCATCACCACATCGTGATTTCACCCACCTGTTCACCACTGATACAGGTTAGACATACATCTATATAAAGACTTTAGCAGAATTAATGATATATGGTGAAAATGTAGATTTACTAATAAGAGATTAAAGCCAGAGTGCCCTGTTAGTTTTGATTTTAGAGCTATTATGTGAACCACAATGTGTTCAGGTGTTAACACCCAATACAGTCTACAGGAACTCAAATAAACATTCACAACCTCAATAATTATATTTGTTGGTTGATGATTATAATATAGATATGTTTCAAATTGAATAAATATACCAAGTGATCAGTCTATTATTCTGTCACTTCAGTAGTAAGAACGAATTCTCTTCAGTTGAAGTGGGTGGCTCTTAAAAGAGCCGTTGGGTTGTTGTTGTTAATGGAGGTGTGAGTTTAACCGCCGAAGCCGTACAGGGTGCGGCCCTGTCTCTTCAGAGCGTAGACCACATCCATGGCGGTGACGGTCTTTCTCTTAGCATGCTCGGTGTAGGTGACAGCATCACGGATGACGTTCTCCAGGAACACCTTGAGCACACCGCGGGTCTCCTCGTAGATCAGGCCGGAGATACGCTTCACTCCACCACGGCGAGCCAGACGGCGGATAGCGGGCTTGGTGATGCCCTGGATGTTATCACGGAGAACTTTCGGTGACGCTTAGCGCCTCCTTTGCCGAGTCCTTTTCCTCCCTTTCCACGTCCACTCATCTTGATAGATTCAGGATTCTTCCTCAGATGAACTGATGCTGCGCTTCAAACAGCGTCAGGATTTAAAGCCTGTAGGCGGACGTTGGTGAATAGAAAGCACGAGCGCAGCCCTCTAATTTCTCTTCCGCCTTCGACTAAACAACGTCACAGTTGACGTCACAGTTGACGTCGTCAGTTTGAATTAATAAAACATTAACTCGTTGGCGGTTGGTCCTCCCATGAACGCCAACAGTAAAGATTATATCTATGTAACAGAAGTCTTGTTTTACAGCTTATGCCCATTATTGGAGTTAATGTTTTTGGTATTTAATGTATTTAATTTATAACAAAAAAGTTGTGTGTAGGCTGTATCTTGATTTATCCTTAATTCATTTTTATTTAGGGTTATGTATATATTTCAAAAAACAGCAATAAAATATTCATGTATACAGTGTGAGTATACTTTGTGATAGCTTAATTTTTCTTTTTGAAGTAGTCCATGGTTAAAAAGGTTGTAGGATGAAGTATAAAATCTTATCCCACTGCCTGATGAAGTCAAAGGTTACAGACAATTTGCTTGAGATTACTATTTGAGAATACAAGCACGATACACTTTAACACCTTCAACTTCAGTTTTCAGCTATGTGCATTTTTTCCTTGATGTCCACTTTGTCACTACTCTAACCAATTATCAGTTACACTAAATGCAAAATATGTGAAATAGTTTTAAATAGGCCTATCAATATCCGTACACCCAAGACGATCTTTCATACTTAAAATGTGCTGAAATTGAGAATATTAGAGCTCACTATTTCCACCCATTGTCTTTGTTATGTTTGATGTGTGTGATACATGTTATGGTCATGTTGTACATATTTCCATCATATTTTTGGGGGTTGTGTTTCTTGAGCCAACACAGAGCTGTGCAGCATTGCTATATATATATATACACATATATACACACACACACAAATGTTTACAATTCTTAACCCTAAAGTGTTCATACTACACATTCAAATACTGTGATTACTGACACAATGTTATTGTGTGGCTTTACACTTTTTTTTGTAATTGGTTAGTGTTTATGGTTGACACAGAAATCCACTTCCATTTTTAGTCACTGTTACTTTACAGTCTTTTTACAGAGAAGGAGGCACAGTAAACAGTGTACCAGCCACTTTCATGATCGTTACACTACAATAGCAAGATTGTTAAAACAATGAAATCAAATAGTATAGTGAAAAGTATAAAGAGCTGTTGTATTGTGAAGGAAATTTGCTCTAGTGATAATGTGGGTGGCTCTTAAAAGAGCCTTTGGGTTGGTTGGACAGTTGAAGTGTTCACTTGGAGCTGGTGTACTTGGTCACAGCCTTGGTGCCCTCAGACACAGCATGCTTGGCCAGCTCTCCAGGCAGGAGCAGGCGGACAGCAGTCTGGATCTCCCTGGAGGTGATGGTGGAGCGCTTGTTGTAGTGAGCCAGCTTGGAGGCCTCACCAGCGATACGCTCAAAAATATCGCCCACAAAAGAGTTCATGATGCCCATCGCCTTTGAAGAGATACCGGTGTCGGGGTGGACTTGCTTCAGGACCTTGTAGACGTAGATGGCATAGCTCTCCTTCCTGGACTTTCTCCTTTTCTTGCCACCTTTGGTGGAGCTCTTAGCAACGGCTTTCTTGGAACCCTTCTTCGCTACGCCTCCTTTTCCTCCTTCAGGCATGTTTGCTGTTTTCGTTGTGAGAAAATGCGTGCTGAGGAAGCAGAGCCGGCTCATTTTAAACATGTCTCATGCAAATGAACCCTGCGCCGCCGCCACTCTGTGATTGGCTGATCCGGAAGGGCGGCATTCGTTGTAAGAATGCGGAAGTCAAACAGAGTTCGCGCTTGTTTTAGGTGGTTTAAATTTAGTTCGGCAGTTAAAGCAAACGGATAAAAAAATAAAACTGTTACAGGACATGGTGAAATGAAACCCAGTGAGTGTTTTCATTGTTAATCAGTAACTCACTGAATATTTGAATGACCTGATAGGATCAATAAGGTACCACCATGACCCTGGACAGACATCCTGAAGATATAATTAATGTTGATATGATTTTTCTTGTTTTAACACTCGTGTGTCTCAATGTCTATTTAATCTTTAACTCTTTATGATCATGTTTGTTAATTAAAGGCATTCATTTTTAAAAATCAAACCCATCTACCACTGGATACATGCAAGAGCCTATAGGCCTCTACTGGGTTATTATTTAACTCACAGATAACAAACCGAATTCTACTCAAAAAGATCAAATAAAATGTAATTTCATTAATCCCACAAGAAATTCTGATGCCATTTGGTTGCTCGAAACATTACAGCCCAAGAAAAGCAACAAATAAGAGCTTCATATGTATTACAAATATTTTACATGTTAATAAATTAGTGATAATGCAGATGTAAGTGATGTGGAAAGTGCACATTATTAACCTTTATTTAACCAGATAAAGAAACCCGTTGAGATCAGGATCTCTTTCACAGGGGTGACCTGGCCAAGAGGTCAGCAGCACATGTCAAAAGAACAGTTACAATGAAGTGACAGCAAAGATTACAACATGATAACAAACATTTAAGATGTCTCAGCATACATTAAATCATTCAGTGTGAGACTGTTTCACAGAACGTCACATAGAGGTCGTTCCTGGCCTACTAGACCCTCTTAAAGGTAAAAGTTATAAACAAATCCTTTTAGCTCCTAAGTGATCTCCTGGGGTGAAAAAGTCAAATGAGGAGTGAAGAGGACTGTCAAGAGGAGGAAGAGTTTCTCAAGCTGAGCAGAAAACAGAGAAATGTTTTCCAAACACTAAAAGAAGAATTCTCTTACTGACTCATAGTCGGGTTTAACAGACAAAGATTATGTATGCACTAAATTTAATCCATCTTCGACTTTTTTCAGTCCCCCTGAGTGTGTTTGACTCCACAGGTGAGTCTAATCACTGAATAAAGGTCTTTATATATCAGCAGGTAAAGAGGCTGCTGCACACCTGTGAATGTGATTTCAAACATTTTGTAAGCTGTATACTTTCAAAGTACCGATTGATCCCATAGTGATGCTCATTTTAGTTTTCATAATTACACAATGTCTGACCTGATTCTGTGATTGGGTTGGCCTTTTAGATTTCACTGTCTTATTCCTGTTATCACAACAAGCACAAAACGGGCCTGACTTACCTAAACATAACACAGACAGTATTTATAGAACTGTGAGACAAAAGAAATATTAAGTTTCAGCTTGTCTCCAAACATGACTTAAAAAACCCACCCCACATCTTTTTAAACTCTCCTGGTTTGCAATATAGGTTATACATGATCTTTTCATTTGAAATCAGTGATCCACCTTTTAAACACTAAGTGCTTTTTCCTCATTCCAGTGCATTTTTTTTTACATTTCAGTTGTTATTTTATTGGCATTTAAATCAGATAAAAGGCCTAAAAGAGCTATACTCTAGACTATGGGAATCACAGCACCTGTGTTATTATAAGCACAGAGTATAAAGATCCAGATCATGTATCAGAGTTCCTATTCCTTTGTTATGTCAGCAGAAATTAGAGTATTCAGCTTAATTCTACTGGACTATCAGGAGTAAAGTATATTCTTTAAGCATGATGTTGTATTGTGCAACTGTATGAAATATTAAACACACTTTCCATCTTTCTGCTTTGAAAATATTGTGCAGCAGAGGTTAGAAAATTGTCTAGAGGCTGACATCAATGTACAAAGCATCATGGTTCTGTAAGGTTTTAGCTTCTTCATATAGGACAGCAGAAGCTCAGTCTGTAGGGTCGTGTGCTGCGCACTGTTGGGGACCAAATTGTGACGTCCATCTGGTAGGTGGTTAGGTAAACACATACTTCATCCTGTGCACCACCTCACTTAATTGTGAAGCACGACTCATTATACCATCATTTGACTTACAACTCACAGATATTATTTTGTAATGTACAAAGACCTGCATGTTGTTCGTCTTTCAGGAAATGGTTTATACAAGTTGAAATCCTATAAACTCCTATGCTAAATTAATCTTTCAGAGTGTCAATCAACATGTATATAAACTATCTGGAAAATTATTGTTGTTATTGAAGATTTTCAGCATCATACACTACTTTAAAACATACAATACAGAATTTGCTCTAGAGATAATGTGGGTGGCTCTTAAAAGAGCCTTTTGGTTGGTTGGACAGTTGAAGTGTTTACTTGGAGCTGGTGTACTTGGTCACAGCCTTGGTGCCCTCAGACACAGCATGCTTGGCCAGCTCTCCAGGCAGGAGCAGGCGGACAGCAGTCTGGATCTCCCTGGAGCTGATGGTGGAGCGCTTGTTGTAGTGAGCCAGCTTGGAGGCCTCACCAGCGATACGCTCAAAGATGTCACTCACAAAAGAGTTCATGATGCCCATCGCCTTTGAAGAGATACCGGTGTCGGGGTGGACTTGCTTCAGGACCTTGTAGACGTAGATGGCATAGCTCTCCTTCCTGGACTTTCTCCTTTTCTTGCCACCTTTGATTGTGCTCTTAGCAACGGCTTTCTTGGAACCCTTCTTCGCTACGCCTCCTTTTCCTCCTTCAGGCATGTTTGCTGTTTTCTTTGTGAGAAAATGCGTGCTGAGAAAGCAGAGCCGGCTCATTTTAAACATGTCTCATGCAAATGAACCCTGCGCCGCCGCCACTCTGTGATTGGCTGATCCGGAAGGGCGGCATTTATTGTAAGAATGCGGAAGTCAAACAGAGTTCGCGCTTGTTTTAGGTGGTTTAAATTTAGTTCGGCAGTTAAAGCAAACGGATAAAAAAATAAAACTGTTACAGGACATGGTGAAATGAAACCCAGTGAGTGTTTTCATTGTTAATCAGTAACTCACTGAATATTTGAATTACCTGATAGGATCAATAAGGTACCACCATGACTCCTGGACAGACATCCTGAAGATATAATTAATGTTGATATGATTTTTCTTGTTTTAACACTCGTGTGTCTCAATGTCTATTTAATCTTTAACTCTTTATGATCATGTTTGTTAATTAAAGGCATTCATTTTTAAAAATCAAACCCATCTACCACTGGATACATGCAAGAGCCTATAGGCCTCTACTGGGTTATTATTTAACTCACAGATAACAAACCGAATTCTACTCAAAAAGATCAAATAAAATGTAATTTCATTAATCCCACAATTCTGTTTCACAGAACGTCACATAGAGGTCGTTCCTGGCCTACTAGACCCTCTTAAAGGTAAAAGTTATAAACAAATCCTTTTAGCTCCTAAGTGATCTCCTGGGGTGAAAAAGTCAAATGAGGAGTGAAGAGGACTGTCAAGAGGAGGAAGAGTTTCTCAAGCTGAGCAGAAAACAGAGAAATGTTTTCCAAACACTAAAAGAAGAATTCTCTTACTGACTCATAGTCGGGTTTAACAGACAAAGATTATGTATGCACTAAATTTAATCCATCTTCGACTTTTTTCAGTCCCCCTGAGTGTGTTTGACTCCACAGGTGAGTCTAATCACTGAATAAAGGTCTTTATATATCAGCAGGTAAAGAGGCTGCTGCACACCTGTGAATGTGATTTCAAACATTTTGTAAGCTGTTTACTTTCAAAGTACCGATTGATCCCATAGTGATGCTCATTTTAGTTTTCATAATTACACAATGTCTGACCTGATTCTGTGATTGGGTTGGCCTTTTAGATTTCACTGTCCTATTCCTGTTATCACAACAAGCACAAAACGGGCCTGACTTACCTAAACATAACACAGACAGTATTTATAGAACTGTGAGACAAAAGAAATATTAAGTTTCAGCTTGTCTCCAAACATGACTTAAAAAGCCCACCCCACATCTTTTTAAACTCTCCTGGTTTGCAATATAGGTTATACATTATCTTTCCATTTGAAATCAGTGATCCACCTTTTAAACACTAAGTGCTTTTTCCTCATTCCAGTGCATTTTTTTACATTTCAGTTGTTATTTTATTGGCATTTAAATCAGATAAAAGGCCTAAAAGAGCTATACTCTTGGCTATGGGAATCACAGCACCTGTGTTATTATAAGCACAGAGTATAAAGATCCAGATCATGTATCAGAGTTCCTATTCCTTTGTTATGTCAGCAGAAATTAGAGTATTCAGCTTAATTCTACTGGACTATCAGGAGTAAAGTATATTCTTTAAGCATGAGGCTGTATGGTGCACTGTATGAAATATTAAACTGTCCATCTATGAAAATATGGTGCAGTAAAAATGGTTAACTTCTGTTAACTGACATCATTGTGCATAAGCATCATGGTTCTGTAAGACTTTTATTTTCATTTGGGACATTAGACACTCAATCAGTTGGGTCATGGGTTGGGAACTGTTAAGCAAAATGTGGATGTCTGGTAGGTGGTTAGGTAACCATATAGTTCAGACTGTAACACATCAAACAATCTGACTTACAACTCATACATGTGGTGTGTGTTAGTCTGTTGTTTGATGACACTATTTTAAAAGCCTACGTTATACCCTCTAGACCAATAGAAGACTTTCATTCTTAAGTTATATGAATATTGACTAACTGGACAATTGATGGTATTGTAGAGTATCATTACAGTGTCACTGCTCATATATTTAAAATATAGAACTTGCTCTGAAAGACAGTGTGAGTGGCTCTTAAAAGAGCCTTTTGGTTGGTTGGACAGTTGAAGTGTTCACTTGGAGCTGGTGTACTTGGTCACAGCCTTGGTGCCCTCAGACACAGCATGCTTGGCCAGCTCTCCAGGCAGGAGCAGGCGGACAGCAGTCTGGATCTCCCTGGAGCTGATGGTGGAGCGCTTGTTGTAGTGAGCCAGCTTGGAGGCCTCACCAGCGATACGCTCAAAAATATCGCCCACAAAAGAGTTCATGATGCCCATCGCCTTTGAAGAGATACCGGTGTCGGGGTGGACTTGCTTCAGGACCTTGTAGACGTAGATGGCATAGCTCTCCTTCCTGGACTTTCTCCTTTTCTTGCCACCTTTGGTGGAGCTCTTAGCAACGGCTTTCTTGGAACCCTTCTTCGCTACGCCTCCTTTTCCTCCTTCAGGCATGTTTGCTGTTTTCCTTGTGAGAAAATGCGTGCTGAGAAAGCAGAGCCGGCTCATTTTAAACATGTCTCATGCAAATGAACCCTGCGCCGCCGCCACTCTGTGATTGGCTGATCCGGAAGCGCGGCATTCACTGTAAGAATGCGGAAGTCAAACGTACTTTTTTTGTGTTTCTCGGCGGTTAATTTTCTGTTTTGCGTTCAAAGAAGGGACAAAGGTTCCAGATTAACCTGGTAAATCAAGTGACACATACATTTTAACAATTAATTGTTAGTCAAGACGGTTTAAACTAATTTCCTGTGATTTGTTTAACTTCAAATTTAGCTTTTTATGGTTGAAATGACCGTTTTAAAGACAGTTTTATCTTCTAAAACACATTCATTATATTTCAGATGTGCCGACTTAAATCGGTAATCTCCAGATACAAATCTGTGTTGTTCAGATTAATTTCGCTTTTATTTAGTTAGTTTTTCTAAATGATGGCTCAAACTGCTAACAGTAGGTCAATATAAGGCAGGCGTTCCCAAACCATGTAGGGTTGTATGGAATTCAAATGTGGTCCCCTGCAATTTGTATTTATTGATCAATAAAAACTGTTTTTATATTAAAATATAGTTAACACTGGTTCCTGTGGGCCATGGCCAATCAGTCTCTGTCTGTCATCCAGTGAGCAGAAATTGTCCATAATAATGAACATGAAAAAGCCTAAATATGGTCTAAAATAAATGTTTGATTGCAACACAGTAGAAAAACTATTACATGATTGAAAACTAATTGCTTAAAGCAAAAAGTTGTTTGTGTTTTGGATGTGTGGGGTCACCAGAGTTTTGTGAAGTCAAAGTGGGGTCACAGGCTAAAAAAGGTTTGGCACCACTGATATAATGAGTGACACACAAAACAGACTTAAACTGTAAAAATGGTCTTTATATGTTTATTTCTAGAAGAAACATTTATAGGCTACACCATGATGTACCAGAGCAACTAAAACGATCCAATGACGCCATCTAGTGGATGAAATCTGAAATTGTTGGCCTTTCTCTGAGCCTGTTCCCAATTTCAATAGGCTATTCATAATTTCACATTAATTTGACATGTGAAGAAATGAAAAACACCAATAATAATAGGCCTAAAAGGTGTTGTGTCCTCAGTTTGGCGTCTTGTGTCCTCAGGCTGTTGTGACCAGTTACATGTCTTACCGTCACCGGGAACAATAGTTTACAGATAGAGGACCTGTATGACAGAAATCCACTGAACTGGAACTCCTGTAAAGTGTCAACATGTCTTCATAACCGGGATATTTGGACATCAGTGAGTCATTTTGTACATGCACGCTGAATATCTCCTCATGAGTAACAGTGTAATCCTTTGAATAAAGAAAAATAAACTTTCTATTACAGAGAATACACACTTTCAAAGCTGTTTCTAGTCATTGCCACATCAGCAGCACTTATTTTAGTCATGCATGTACAAGTCAAGATCATAGAGTTAATTTAGTCACATTCAATTCATTCTCAAATCGAGACACTCTTCAGAATTGTTTTAAATTGTAACTATGGTCTTTAAAATAGTTTTGAAACGCAAAATAATTTAATTTCAAACATGTGATTAATCGCGATTAACTCGACATTCTACAATTAATCGCCAGCCCGACTCAATATATACTTTGTTTTTTCCAATAAGTAGAAAGACAACCTTGGTGAAACTTTGCTGACTGTGTTATAAAATAAAAACAAAGTCGTCTTGCAGAAAACAAATATTAAACACCACCAGTTTGAGTTTGTTTCAGTTTATTTCATAACTCTTCTGCATATATTATTAACAGTTTAACAAACAGGATTCATTTCCTTAAAAACACAATGTAACATTAACGGGATGAGGTTTAACATGTGTTACACTTAAACCACTTATACACAGAGAACGTCAGAAAAAAAAGTTGGCTTTTTCAGACCAATTTGGCAGCGTTGTTTTGGGGATCGGTGTCAGTAAAGGTACTTGATGGACGGAGGCAGCTTCACGGATGATTCACACTCACAGGCAGCAAAGTGTACGGAATCCACACATAAGGAAACTACCTCCACTACTGCTGGCAGAACACAACATCCCTGGTGGATATAAATGAAGGGCTGTATTTAATGAAAATCATGCATTAAAAGGAAAGATACACTTTGCAGATTCGCCTACAAACAGTCGCTTTCAAGATATGTGGTCAGGATATGTGGATATGATTCAAAGGAAAACAAAATCTGTGGAACTAACAGCTCCAGTTTGCCTTAGAAGGAATCAGAGTTCTTACATTTGAGGATTTGTTGAACAGATAGACGCTGTTTTAAAAGCAGCTTCTGGTGTGCAGACCTCGTCTTTCCCTTTCTTCAGATATTTTTGTCTGGCACCCAGTACTCAAGTATCGGATGTGCATGCTGTTTGATATTTTTTGTAAAAACTGAGTCAGCCTTTAAAAATTAAAAAGGTTTACATGAAAGCCGAGTCACATTAAATATTCCTGTCTCACTGGTGGCTACCTAGAAAGCTAAACGCTTACAGAGTGGTTGTGCTGACCAGTTTTCTGTGCAACTTCATGGAACAGAGGGGTATAAAGGCTACTAAGCTAACCAACAGTTAGCGGGTTTCTTTAAAGTATGTGGAAGCGGTCAAGAGAAGTGGTTCAGATAGAAGTGATTGTACCCGACCTAAAAAGCCTCTGCATGTTTCTAATAAGCTCCACGAGCAGAAACGTGCTCAAACTAGGATCAATATTGGAGATGCTTTTGAAAAATGGAGAGAGGTTAGAACACAGAAAGGTTTACAGACCCATGCAGAGCTGGATAAACACTGAAGCTTCAGAGTCCACCACATGGTGACCTGTGAGAGCATGGACTCTAGAGGGGGGAAGACGATTCCTTGAAAGGGGCAAACTGGGTTGAGTTCCTCTGATGCAGTTGATTTGAGTTATTGATGCATGTTAAACCTGAATGTGTGTGTGTTTTTGTGTGTGAGGATGTTTGCAGGACTTCAGGATAAGGCTGGACATCTCCGATCTACACAGTACAGGGATAGCAGCTTCGAGGAAACACAGAACACATTTCACAACTGCAGGAAACAGGATTGAAACAATAAAAGAGGAAATACTGTAAATTCTCAAACAGAGGCCTACAGGTTGTTTTTTTTTTTGCAGAAAGAGGTTTTTATTTTAAACAAAATGGACATTTGTTGTACGTGAACATGATCATATTTTAATAAGAATTGTTCCTCTTTTTGATCCGTTTCAATCATCTCTTTTTTATGTTGCTTGATGCAGTTTTAGAATTGAGAAATATGTTCTGTTTAAGCTTTATTACTTTGAAATCTCCATAAATGTCTGACTTTGTATTCCTATTCATGACTGAGTTCTTAAATCCCATCTTGCAGTTTTTGTCCTAACTTTTTATTCATGAATCGCATGAATATGCAGAGTCATGTTTGTATTGTTTCCTCACTAGTCTGGGAACGACTGCTAACATGTAAGAACAGATCAGCTGGTGGCTTTATGGACTGCCACCCTAACATGGGCTAAAAGGCACAAATCAGTGTGGACAATGTTGCTACTTGTCAGTTGTTTTATTCCGTCAGTAAACATTTTCCTAATTTCCTAGTTTATGGTCTTAACCTCCAGTTTCATGTCACCTTAAATACAACATGATGTTCTTTTAGTAAATAGAGCTCAACAGTGACCGTCCACTTTGTCGCAGGCTGTACTTCCAGAAGTAAATTTTCCCATTCAAAACCTCTCAACATTTCAATAAATCCTGATTTCAATATTTTTAATCCTGGATCCAAACCAACCAGCTACCTAAATAATCATGACTATTAAACATTTGATTCAGTGCCAAAAAAAACAACAACAATTGGAAAACGGAAAAAAAAGCAAAGGTTGAAGTCTGTGTACATAACTTTTCAGGGAGTGAAGAAACTACGCATCCCACAATCCATCCAACGAGACCCAAAAAATGATGGTTTAGCTTCTTACTGAATGTTTACTGACCTTCATTCTATATTTATCTTTATTGTATTATACTGTTAATTATAATGTTGTAATAGGGACCGTCTCCATTAACTAATTCATCTTGTGCTGTTTTGTCCCTTCAGGCTCTCCGTAGATAGTCGTCCTCAAAGAAGGACTCTGCTGCATCTTTGAATGTCTCATTCAATGCAGCAGAGTCCTTCTATTAAATCACTGTGACCACAGGGAGACACTGAGGACCACTTTGTACGGAGAGTCTGAAGGGACAAAATATCATGAGATTAATTTCAGAGCTTCATGATTAACTAGTTAATGCTGACAGCCCTACTAAAACTTAGATTGCAGGAAATGGATGTGAATAGCACTGTTTAGCTCTATAGTCCTATTTAGAGTCAAACTGACCAAAAAGCAGATGAGCATTTAGGGCGGGGCTAGCTAAGTTAGCACCACAGTGACCTAGCTCCCCCTCCAAAAAGGAGATGGCAATGTCCAAACTACCAAACTTGATAATTCAAACTGGTAGTCCACACACCAGAAAGTGACTAGTTGGAGACAATGTCCTTTTTTATTTTTTTTTACGATATAAACATATTTACATCATGACTAACCAATCAAAAGCCATTTCTAACTGGTATTCTTTTCTTCTTTTTAAAAAAAAAAACATTTTTCATTGTGAATTTGGTTCATACTGAATAACAGGCCGTTAATCTGCTTCAAATTTGAGAATTCACAGTATTTTACCTCCATTCTGGTGAACACTCACTCATTTTTCTCAGGGACACACACTCATGCAACTTATAGTTGCTCGATTGATATGTAGGAGGAAGTACAAAATAACAGCAAGAAGAACAGGCCACACAAAGGTAGAGAATACTAAATACTTCAATCCCCTGAACTAACTGAAGAAACCAAAACATCGCTCAAAGAATCCAACAGCTCAGAGGAATCCACGAGAGGAGCCTGTGGCGTCGGCCCCGCACTGTGAGACCCTGAATGCATCATGCTGTTAGGGACACCGG